TCTGTTGTGTTTCTATGAGTTGTAACTGACTCGACAGCACTTAACAACAACAATCCTGCCATAATAGTAAGAACAGTCATCTATGAGTGGATACATAGATAGACATGGAAGCTGAACGTGCGAAGGTGTGTTAAGGAGAATACAGAAATGAATATATGTAGGTTTGACTGAGGATATTTCTAAATATGTACTTACATGCGCTGCAAATATATCCATAAATATAGTAGTCCATAGAAGGGACAAAGTTATGAAAACTTCTTACCCTTAACCAAAAACCATGAGGGGATGAGTCACTAGGTTGGAGAACATCTAGATCAATTGGTTTAACAGTCAAAAAGAGGATGTCCTACAGCCTACTTTGATGAGTAATAACTGGAGTCTTAAAACCTGTGAGATCTATGGTGCAACTATTGATCTCTTCCTATTCGGAGCAAAGAAAAGTGAAGAAAATCAAAGGTACATGGGAAAAAATTAGTACAGAGAATGATTGGACCATGTGAACCTTTACCGCCATCCCTGAGACCCGAACAACTAGATGGTACCCAAACTCTCTGAAAGGAATCACACCAGGAAGTTCTAGATAGAGTGAGACAAAAATGTAGAACAAAAGTCAGGTTCATTAAAAAGATGGCTGACTGGTAGGACCTTGACATTCTTCAGGCTTGGAACTAAATTCACCCCCAGTGGCTTAACTTTCAGCCACACAATTGTTGTTGTTGTGAAGTGCCGTCGAGTTGATTCCGACCCATAGCAACCCTGTATAGGGTTTCCTGGGAGCAGCTGGTGAGCTTGAACTGCCAACCTTGCAGTTCAGAAGGCTTTGCAGTCTGACACAATAGCCCACAACACCACACCAGAGCTCCATTCAGCCACATAATACACACGTCTATAAAGGTGAGTAGTAATCCCAGAGAGTTAAGCCTTCCTTATAGGAGTACTGGTGTGGCACTGTGGGTTAATGTGCGAGACTGCAAAGCCATTTGAAATGCAAGGTTGGTGGTTCAAGCTCACCAGCCGCTCCTCGGAAACCCTATCCATGGTTGCTATGGGTTGGAACCAACTTGATGGCACTTAACAACAAAAACAACAATATAGCAATCAAGGAATTAGATATGAAATCAAAAGGATAGCATTTGTTCAGGGTTAAAGTTCAGAAAGCAGGAAGTAATAGCTTAAAAGGGTGAATGGAAACCCAGGGAAGAAGCAGGAATAGTGTTTGTTACATTGTGAGGATAGCAATCATGATCAAGAAACAAAATGTGCTTGAATTATTAAATGGAAAACCAATTTGCTTACAAAGTTTCACACAATCACAATCAAAAGTTGAAAAAAAAAAGAATGGAATTGCCAAATTATAATATTAGCATGCTTGCCCAGGAAACATCAAGGCAAGTGGTCGGGTCCCCTCAGTGCAAGCCCCCTTCCAAGACTAAGACTCAGTGGGAATACATGCTGTGATTGGTGACCATGCTTGACACTGATAAGGGGAAGTGAGGGAAAAACAGCAATGAAGCAGTGAGCTAAGCCCTACAACTACAACGTTCAACAGACTTCTGTGAACCCGGGTGAAGACCTGGTTGGCCTGCAGTGTGGCAAGACCTGGGGACTCCTGGGCCCAGAGTCAGAAACATAGCCACAGAGGACTAGAGTGGAGAGTGAAGCGTCCAGCTGATAAGAAGAGAGGCCATATGCATAAGAACACCCACACTTGCAGATAATACCCACTTGTCCTGGCTTCAATGACTGGATGATCAGAGCTCAACCAGAAGTGAAAAGAAGAGGGGGCGGAAAAAAAAGTATTCTCATACAATTTGATGAACTTGACCTACACCGATGGAAGCAGTATCTCAAAAGAGGGAACAAGTCCTTACAGCAAGAAAGAATCATTCCCACCCCCTCCACACACAGAGTAGACAGGGATGGGCAACTTGGACATTGGCTACCCAAAATGGGGGGTGGGGGGACTACAAAGGAAAGAAGTGACTGGCTTACAAGCTTTCAAGAGGGAACCTAGATCCAGAGGGCCTGGAGGAAGGTAGAATCTCCAGTGAGTAGTATTCAATCTGACTAGGCGGGGCTGATGCAATGAAATATAGACGGGTCTCTTGTGATACAATAGTGAATAATTGTTATCAGGACTGATTGTGAGGGTTGGAAATGTAAAGGTAGATGTTTTATAGCAAGGAGGGGAGTGATTAACTTTTCAGTCTAGGAGCGGAGGTCCCTAGGACCATCAAGGGAGAAGAGCAGAGAGCGGGACCTTACCCAGAGAAGCAGTGATGTCTGAAATGGAGGTAGAGATGATGACGTGGAGCAATGGAGCAGCTGGAGACTTTAGATCCAGAGAGGGGGAGCGACTGTGTGCTGAAGACCTGGGGGGCACGGAGGAAGGATTGCATGGAGGGGATTGTAACCATGGCAATGAGACGATATACAATAGAATGAATGTAAAACCAATGTTCTCCCATACAAACTATTACATAATTCACAATAAAACATTAAAAAAAAATTTCAATGTTAGTTCTGGAGTCCTTGGGTAGCAATGCAAAATAATGTAGTGTACTGAAAAGTTGGTTTAAACCACAAGGTCAGCAGTACAAACCCACCAGTTTCTCCTTGGAAACCCTATACAGGGTCACTGAATCAGAACTGACTTGATGGCACTTCACAACAACAATCATTGCTAGCTCACTTCTCTCTACCTTCCCTATACTCTACAGTGAGACTGCATTGATCCTCTAGATATTTTCTAAGTATAATTTGAATGTACTTCCCCAGCTCTAGGTCATTATCCATCATATTCCTTCTAACTAGAAATCACTTCTTTTAAGGATATGCACTAGACTGTTAACTGCAAGACTGGCAGTTTAAACCCACAGGTCGCTCCTCAGAAACTGTATGTAAACTCCCTGGGAGTCAGAAACGCCTCGATCACACTTGACAATAGCACCACCTTTATGGTAAACCTACCCATTTTCAACGATGAGATAGGTTTTAAAACAAAACAGATAGGAGAAACCTTTCTTAGATAGTTATCTGAGTTTCCAAAAAAATGTGTAGTCTCTGTCTGAATTTCCAGAGTACCTACTACATTTGTATTTCTCCTTGGCCCCTTTGACTTATGGTTGTTTGTGCCCAAGTCTTCTCTCCCTACTAGCTTGTGTGCTCCCTAAGAACAAGGCTCTTACCTTCTACAAGACTACTTCTTCTCATCACAGAGGGCCTGAAAAAGTGACATTTATGCATTAGTTAATTTGCTGATCGATTCTAATTTACATGTGAATACATATCAACCACAAAACCCACTACAATAAAGTAAGTCTACTTATTGACTTTTCCTTTTATGTATTTGTGATCCACATGGTTCAGTCCTTTCTGATACCTTTTTTTTTTTTTTTTTTTCCCCCTAGCAATCATCAGAAATCTGGGAGAAAAGGCTAAATATTGGTTTGTCGCTCCCAAACAGCGTTGCTGATAGAGATGAACTACCTCCAACTCGTATCAAGGAAAGCCACATTTTGGAAGGACTAAGGAAACTACAGAAGCGAAAAGCATTACTTGAACCCCCTTCAGTGATAACCAAGTGGGGGTATAAAGATTGCATGAACTCTAATGAAGGAATATATTCTCCAGGAATTAAGTGTAGCAGCCTTAACGAATGCCCCGCCTCCAAGCCAACTGACTCTTGTAAGGTCCCTTTAAAGGACCCTCCCAAGACATTAGTTTACGATACAGATTCCCACGATGATGCTGAGGAAGACTCTTCCTCCTTAGCATTGATCCAAGCCCTTCCAAACCAGGGCTGCCGACTACACAGGAGAAAACTGACCCAGAGAGTTTCTGACAGGCTGTTTGGCTGGGAGCTGAGTGGAAACCACTTTTTGGAAGGTGCTGCCTCGGTTTATCCCAGGGAAAGGCCTCAGAAGCTGAGCACTTGTGTGAGCAGTTGTCCCTTGGAGGGGAACCTGTGCCCAAGATTGACGGTGCCTCCATTTTCAAGGGTGAGAGGTCAGCACAGCCAGGGCTACGTGGCTCTGGGCCTCCAGCTCTCAGATACGGATGACTGTGAAACCCTTGATGAGCTGTATATTGAGAGCAGTGATGAGAAGAGCCCTTCAGACTTGTCACTGCCTGCGGATACTGACCAGTCCCTAGAGAACCTGGATCTCCTCCTTGGACTTGGAAGATCTCAGTTTAGGTCTCCTGAGAAGAGAAAGCCAGTGCCCATCTACTTAGAGAGTAGGCCAAAGACATGTGGTTTCATTAAAGAACAAGTGGTTGTCAGAAGGACTTCTTCAGAAGAATGCATGACTGTAATATTTGATGCTCAAGATGGTGAACCCATTGAGTTCAGCTCTCACCAGGTTGGAGTCGTCACTGTGACTGGAAATGAAATTTCCATCAACCAGCACTCTTCTAAACCCACAATGGAACACACTGACATTTTACCTCAGGGAATTCTTCACTTGCAGCCCGGAACTGATGCTAGAGACTACACGTTCTTAAATGGATCTGAAGAGGAAACTGAGAAAACCATTCCAAACGATCAAGGAGATAATATCCCCTTGGCACCCACAGAATCTTTCAGCCCAAGGACAGTGACACAAAATAATACTCAACAACAAAAGCTGGCCAAACCAAGACACAATATGTCATGCCAGAGTAATTCTCAGTCTTCAGTGTCCTTGGGTATCTATCAAAAGCAAAGTCTGACAAAAATACCTGCTAGGGGAAAGTCTTCATCTCAGAAATCAAAAATAATGGAGCCTGAAGCCTCCACAATCATCCCCTCAGCTGACACAGTGACTTTTGAAAAATCGCCTGCCTTTGCTCCCGGGAAACGTTCACAGTTCAGGAGGGCTGAGAGCCCAGCACATCTCTTTGATTTACGGACAGATTCACACATTCCAAAACTCCTCCCCAAACTTCCTCACAACTCAAAAGTATCCAGCAGAAGGGACTGGTCCCAGTGCTCCCAGAGTCCGGGGTCACAGTTGCTGTCAAGGCCCCTCATTGAGCCCAGGGACAATGGAGAACCTCTGACAAGGGAGGGAGACTGTGACTCAGGGCCAGACTCAGGGGAGAAGTCACCTCCACCTCCTCCGGGCAGGTCATTATCATTGCTGGTCAGGCCCAGTTATGATTGTTCATCTCCACTTTCATCTGCTAAGCCTGAAACCAGGGTCCCCAATGAAACAGCAAAGACAGTATCCAAATTCTCCCCTCGGAAAGGATTGCCCACTGCTATTATTTCTTCTGATCTGGCCATGACAGAAATTCAGGGGAAGAAACCATCTGTGGCCTTCAAAAATCCTGTCTTCATGAATCCTCCGCCTTCCACACAAACCAGATGCCCTGGTCATCCCAACTCCAGCTCATTTTCTGCGGTGGCTCCAGGGCCTCTCAAAGTCTCTCCAAAGAGAGGTATCCCCAAAACCTCTCCCCACCAAACACTTGGGACCACACAAATGGACACAGGGTTGCGTTCTCCTAAGAATTGTCCTTTTACCCATGAGGCACTGGAAACGTTGTCCTCCAAAAGTGCATCTCCAGAAAGAAAAGGACAGCTGAATGACTGTGTACCCCCCTCACCTAAGTCTTCCTTTTTAGGGCCAAATGAGTCACCATCCTCTCAGGCTAACAGTCCATCACCATCACCATCTTACAAAAGCAATAATGCCCCACATGGTTGTACCAGTGCTCCTGAAAAAGGATTGCAAACTCACCTCCCAGTGGGACTCAATGTTCTCCTTAACTCTCCCCAATTACTCAGGAAAAGTTCCACGATGCCAGAGAAACATGAAAAAGACAGTCTAAATGAAGCCTCTAAAAGTTCTGTGTCTGTGAGTAAAGCTAAGCAAGAAGAGGAGATCCCCACAAGCATGGAGGGCAGAGAGGAGGGGAGAAATGTGGCTGCTCTGGGTTTACAGACAAAAGACACTTTAGCCAGAGGGCTTCCTCTGGAAACTGGACTGCCAGGACCACTTGAAAACTGTGTCCCCAGGACTGATGGAAGAATTGGGATGGACAAGAAATCTGTGAAAAGATCCCTTTCCTCCAGCAAGCCACACCTAAAACCAGCTCTCGGCATGAACGGAGCCAAAGCCCGCAGCCAGAGTTTCAGCATTTACTCAGGAGACAAGCCTTCTACCCCTCCCGTGGAAGGGCCCGGCAAAGTTCGAACTCAGATCATCACTAACACTGCTGAGAGACGCAGTTCTCTCACCCGGCAGAACTCCTTCATGGAAGGCTTATACATCAAGCCCCCTTTGGCTGCAGCCCCTGACAGTCTTCCCAATAGTGGGAGACCCAAGGGGTCTTCCTCTTCCAGGCAAGGCTCTCTGGGGAGTACAGACAGCTCTAGGGGTCAGCATGGTAGTCCAAGCAAGTTGCCTCTGAGGATTCTTCCAGAACCTGAAGGACTCCTCAGGCCACCGGGTAAAGCAGACCAGCACGTCAACATCCCAGGTGGATGCCCCAGTGTGCTTATGCCTGAGGAACCACGCAGCAACCACTGCAGCTGCCCCTCCACCCCACTTGACAGCCCACGGGTCTTGCAGAGCCCAGGAATGTTGCAGCGTCCAAGCAGTTTTGAAACAAGCAGGACGGCCCAGTTAGAAACTTCTGGAAAGCATCCAGATGCCTCTACAACCAGACCTGATACTGTGAGCCCAGAAGCCCCCCTCTCACCCACCATTGAAGAAAAGGTCATGTTGTGCATTCAGGAGAATGTGGAAAAGGGCCAAGTACAAACAAAGTCCACCTCTGTGGAAGCCAAACAGAAGCCTGGGCCTTCTTTTGCCAGCTGGTTTGGTTTTCGGAAGAGTAGGCTCCCAGCTCTCAGTAGCAGGAAGATAGATGTCTCCAAAACCAAAGTGGAAAAGAAAGACATAAAAGGTTTGGGGTTTGGAAACAAACATTTAAGATCAGAGAGAAAGAAAGACAAAAAGAAGCCTGAACTACAGTGTGAAATCGAAAATGAGCTCAACAGGGAAACCGAGTCAACAGATAGTCCGGATATTAGTTTACAAAGCAAACATAACATGAAACCACGGCAAGACATTTACAACCAAATGAAGCTTGAACCAAGAAATAGACCCAGCCCTGTTATGTGTTCAACAAAAGATACCTTCATGACAGAACTTTTGAACAGGTAACTCACTGGGACAGAGGGTGGTAACGTGGAGGGGACCCTTGCTTTCGTTAAGTAGAGTCATTGTTTTCTGCACATGAAGTGCCAGGCAAGCATGTTTTTCATACAAGCAGACATGCAGAGTAGCAGAATTTTATACATTAGCCAGAATTTAAGCAATGAAATAAAAGGTAGTAATAAAATGATAATTTAGTGCATGTTACTTTGTTAACCAAACCAATGGTCTTTGAAATTAAAGAATGGAAAGTTTTATCAAGGTTGATAGAAATTCAGCGTACACTAGGAGCCATGAATGTATCCACATGGCATGAAATGGAAGAAAATTAAACATACATTTTAAAGTATGTTGGTCTTGTTGATTGTATCAGGCAAATGAATACTTAGAAACTTTCCAGAGGTAATTACATTTCCTGCTGCTCTTAAGCTAGAAATATGCTTAGCAATCACTTTTTCATAGTTTTTATTTTGCCTGCCCCCGCAATCATAAAAATAAATAATTAGATTATTAGATCTAAATTGGTACACTAGCTGAACTATCAAATAAAGATTTGATCAAGGCCAAGGAGAAATGCTTACTACTTAAAGTAAAGACAAAGCGGTAAATAGAGGTGGCTGTAAATATTAAATTGGGAAAAATACAGTGATTAAAGAAAAGCAATATAATTTATCCAAGGAATCATTTTCTACCTGCAGAGTTGATAAGAGAGCAGTGCAACAGACAGAAAGTGGATCAAATAATGTTTCCTATAGGAATATGTTCAAGGGCAGTTCCCAGGGCTCCTGTCTTCCTGGCAGTTCTATCAGCACTCAAGGAAACCATAAGAAAAACATCAAAACTAAAGCTGATGTGGAAATATCAAAAGGCTCCCTGGTAAGTACTGTACCATTCTGGTTATAATAGATATATTCTGAGATGGGTTGGTTGGGTTCTTCCTGTTTGGGGAGGTTGGAAAAATATGGGCAAGAAATTATGTGGGGAACGGAAATGTCAGAGAAAAAGAGGCAAAAGGGAGCAATAGCGCCTTTTGAGTCCCATGGTAGGCAGAGGGCAGCGAGATTGAGAATGGGCATGACTCCTCACAGTCACGCTGCGTCTCAGCTCGGTTTTCAGACCGGTGCTATAATCACAGTGCAGTGCAGCCAAACGATTCTACAAGTGTCATCTTAGAAATGATACCCCTGTGCTAGGAACATGGCGATTATTTCCAACATTATCAACAACAACAAAAAAGAATGAATATGATTTTTGAAAATAAGAGTGGAAAACAGTTTAAGAAAATATTGGCTATTTTGCTTTGACATCATTCATTTTTCATTCAAGTTGTATGTACCAGTTCATCCTATGCTAGACAGAGATGCTAAGACTAGAATTATTTGAGGGACATGTTGCCATGTCATTTAACCTTTTAATTATAAAGGCCAAAACTCAGAGAGTAGATTTCCTTTTTGAGAAGTGTGTGTGTGGAGCGGGGGAGTACATTCCCCAGGGTATGATAGTTTCAACTCATAGTTTTGTTTTCAATTACCTTCAATTGCACTTAGTCTCCTTATGCCATTTTAATACCTGCATAATTGATTTGAGGGTGTTCATTTTTCCTTTTAGCAAGTTTTCAAGTACTTAAACCAAAAATTATTCTCTTTACAGAATTACTGTATCCATCTTTTTTGCACTCTAATAGAAGATATTGTAAAACATATATATGTTATCATTTTCTGAGGAAAATTTAAAATATTAAGTAATTACACTTTTTTTTCTGGAGTGGTTTTAGAGTCAAGGATATGTTTTAAGTAATTGGCTTACTTACTGTTGTTAAGTGCCATCCAGTTGGTCCCAACTCATAGTGACCCTGTGTAGAATTTCCAAGGCTGTCTATCTTTGTGGGAGCAGCAAGCCTCATCTTTCTCCCGAGGAGTGGCTGGTGGACATGAACTGCAGACCTTGTGGTTCGCAGTCGACAAGTCCAGTATTTATTGTACAAAGTCACCATATTATATCATGATATTTTTGTTGTTAAGTGATGTCCAAGGCTTCCAAGGAGCAACTGGTGAGTTTGAACTGCCTATTTCATAGTTCAAACAGACCTTGCAGTCCAGAACTTTCCCTAGAGTGCCATACCAGGACTCCTTCATGGTACTTATTTTTGTTAAGTGCCATGGAGTTGGTTCCAACCTATAATGACCCTGTATGGGGTTTCTGACGAGTGGCTGGTGAGCTTGAATTGCCGACTTTGCAGTCCAGCCCATTAACCCACAGTACCATCCATACCAGGACTCCTTGTGATATTTACTAGTAATTAATCATTAGTTATAATTATTTATTGATGGTTAGGTGTCCTTAGGTTAGAGCTTCATGGACATACTTTCAGACAAATACACATTTCCATTTTTTTAATTCAAATCAATTATGATTCCAAAGAACTATATTGATTATTTTCAAACTCCCTGAAATAGTATGCAGAAGATATTCTTTGCAGAAGTGTATATTTTGTTGTTGTTTTTGTTGTTGTCTTAGTTCCCCCTACCACTCATTTTTGCTCTTGGCTTCCTTGGCAGTATTCTTTCTTTGAAAATGTATGTGTCCCCTGAATTATAAAACTGCAAATTGTAAGCATATCTAAGACTGCCCTTGTAGTGTCACTGAAAGGAATGAGGGAAAATGAATGTGTAGAAATGTGCAAAATGCCGGAAATTCAATCCAACTGATCACAAACCTTGATAGGCTGGTGAGAGCCCCTTATCAAAGGCACTGAATTTAACTGTGTCTCCTTTAATATGGTCCTGACAGCTTAGGCTGTATCTTCGCTATACAGAACAATCATAAAAACAAAAAGGCCCTGTGTTTGGCTTTTACAATTTCATTTTTACTTTTTTATTACTTCCTAATACTGAGATAATTTGCCATGCTTTCTCTCTCATGCAGCCTTTCACAAGTGTAGAAATAAAGCATTGTTGGGTCCTTCCAGAATATCTACAAGTAACACTCGTAGTATATTCTATCAAGTGCAAAGACCCTTTAACCAACTTAGACTATTAAAGACTCTTTAACATATTCAGTAGGGATATATTAATGTTTCTAGTTGGTTGCAAGAGGAAATTAGTCATGCTGGGAAGCTTTTCTTTACAGAGGAATATTATTAACCTGGACACTTGACTGGCTGGTCATTCCTTTTGATGTAAAATGCAGTGGTCTTTTGTTTGTTTGTTTCATCTCTGTAATTGTCAGCGCAGATTAGGCTGAAATGACTAATTTCAGAAAGGACACTGCAGTTTCCTGTGGGATGAGTACAAGAAAAGCAGGGAAAACCTATTTATTATGTGTTATCAGTCTATAGAGGAAGGAGATTAGAGGTAAAATAAGATGCATTCTAATTTTGTGGCATATTGATGTGGAGACCTGTGAACCTTTTAAAGTTCAGTTTAAGAGGATTTTCCACCACTAGAGCTCAAGGTAAGATCTGCTATCTGCTTAGGTTAAAGTTTATTTAAAGAAGGCTTCATATGGCAGTTAATTTGGATGAAAATGATAGCTACATATGGTGTATAACAGATCACAATTTTTCTTGGATAAAACTACTGCAAAACTGTACAGCAATAATATGAGTGCAGCACAGTTCTTTACCCTTTAAAATGTTTGACTGTATTTAGTTCTGAGGATTCTGAGGCACTTTAATTATTTAAAATTAAATATCATAATCACAGTAAGATTATTTCTATACACATATCAAATGTGTTTTGTAGGAGACCTCCACTTGCTTCACTAGTAACTGAATAGCCAATTCAGCATTGCCAGATGCATTTAAAAATATGTGTAAAAGTCTCATGAATGGCTTGCTGGATTAAAAATCCGTTTCTCTTCTCAGAGTCTTAATTAGCGGCTTATGTCCCCATTTATGCCATTATTTGCAGACCACTTAGCTCTAATTTTCATATAATTTAGACAAGGGTCATGTTACTTTGTACTATGATTTAAGTTATATGAAATCATTATAAGACAGAGGAAAGGCATTATCTGAGAGGATTAGCACCTGTCTAAAGTAAATAAATCAGAAAGGGATACACTCTACTGGCTACATGTTGTAAATCCTTCCCATAGAGTCAGAGAATTTTCTGAAAGGAGAAGTCTCTGAACAAGATAGCTCCAGGCTCCAATTTGACTATCCCTGGACAAAATAAAATCATTAGCAAAATTAATGAGACCATATACCTTCATTAGGTACTGGAAAGAGATGGCCGTTTTCATGTGGGCATTTTAATGTAAATGATGGGTACTCTCTTCACCTAGAGTTACATAGTCTGAAAACAAAATCACATATGCTAATTAAACACATCAAATACTAACCCCATTAAAATGGTGCTGTGGTGATGAAACAGCATAAAACAGTACAATAATTACATAAATTGTTATCATCTTATTAAGTTCTGCAAAATGTTATAATTTCAACTTCCTTAATTGAATGGTACTGTTCTAAATGCAATTTTGATGCTAATAAGAACCATGCATATTTTGTCCACCCTTTACAAAGATTTCTAAATGATTTAAAAAGTGATGCCTCCCAGAATTGTGCCCTCCAAGGATCACTTCCTGTCTCACTTCGATTCAGTTTGTTCCTTATCTTTTAAATGAGCTTTGACACTAAAATATTGTTAGTGGTAGGGCAATTTCAAAGAAGAATAGGTACAGAATTCTTAATGAAGGGTGCGCCATATTTTTGGACTTTTAAAATATACATATATGTTTATATGCGTATGTATATACACAGTTACATATGGTGGTGGTGGTTATGTACAGTTGGTTCTCACTCATAGGGTTTCCAAGGCTTTAAATCTTTGCGAGAGCAGAAAGTTTCGTCTTCCTCTCGCAGAACCACTCACTGGTAGTTTCTAATTGATGACCATGAGGTTAGCAGCTTGATTCATAGCCACTGGGCTACCAGAGCTCCTTATATATACATATATAAGGATAAATATATACACACATATATATATATATATGTATATGCATATAGGTAAGAATAAAAGCCAGTATATGGAGCACCCTTCATTAAGAATTATACACACACACACACACACACACACACACAGTTTTGATGTGGCTCTATAGGATCAGCAGTGCAAATTATGAGGCTGGCAGTTCAAACTCAGCTGCTCCAGGGTCCCTATGAATCGGAACTGACTCAATGGCACTTAACATATATATAGATAGATATTACGTGTTGTTGTTAAGTATTGTCAAGTCAGTTCTGACCCATAGGGCTTCCAAGGAGCAGCTGGTAAGCTTGAACCACCAACCTTGCAGTTCGAAACAACTTTGCAGTCTGATGCATTAGTTCACAGTGCCACACCAGGACTCCATATACATATATATATATATATAAATCCCAACATATAGAGCATCTTTCATTAGGAATTTTGTATATATATAGGGAGTGTGGTGTCTCCTTAGGATAAGCACAGAGCTTTGAACCACAAAGTTGACGGTTTGAGCCCACCAACTGCTCATTGGGAGAAAGATGAGACTTACGACTCCTACAAAGATTTATAGCGTTGGAAACCCCATATGGTGTCATTATGAGTCAGAACCAATTTGATGGCACTTAACAACATATATATATATATATATATATATATATATATATATATATATATATATATATACACATTTAAACAACATATATATACACATATATATACACATTTGTTATTAAGCATTATATATATACACATTTAAACAACATATATATACACATATATATACACATTTGTTATTAAGCATTATATATATACACATTTAAACAACATATATATACACATTTGTTATTAAACATTATATATATATACACATTTAAACAACATATATGTATTTATGTATAT